GGAATGGGAAGTGAGAATGTTATTTCATTCCACCTCATTCCCGCCTACCAAACGAGGCCTAGGTGTACAGTGTTTTAGACCAAATGCTTAAGCACTATTTTAGGGGGGGTTTTCACATTGTTGCAATGTTGCAAATGGTAGATGAGTTTTTTCTTATAAGTTCAAGGTTTTATGCTCATTTATTATTAAATTCACCCACTTTGTGAATATTTTTTTTTTTCTAATCATAAGTATTCTGGCAGTTTTATATACATGTAAGTTGTTATATTTTATTTTAACATGTAAAATTTTGTTCTAAGTGGTTAGGTAGAGTAGGGATTCTATCAGAACACTCCATCTACTAGGGTAATCTATAGTACTCATGGATGGTTAAATGGTTACGAATTATGGTTATTCTATTAATGGTGTGAACCACCCCGCTTTTATATAGGTGATTTTCATAGAAATCTTATTGTTTTGATATACCATGTGTTTCATAAATCAAATACTTAGCAATGTTTATTTTTTCCATGCTAATGAGGTGGCATTGGAAATTTTTTCTGTGTAAACTCAAACTTTTAGCCCGCTGCTTTTTAAACTTACTCTCTTCCAAATAGGAGTTCTTGTGTATACGTCCAAAATCTTACATTCATTTATTATTAAAGTCACTCACCTTCAAGATCACTCTCTGAAATCCAAAATACTCATTCGCACAAATCTTAAACTCACTTTATATTTTCACGAGCTCATCACATGTGAGTTTCTATATTTTGTTATAACCTTGTACATTTTCCTTCAAAATCAAAAGTCATACTATGTATTTTTAAACCCACTAATTTCCAAAGCTACTCTTAAACAAAAATTAGTCAACATTATTTTTAAATCTATTTTGTATTTCTATGATTTGGAATACATTGTCAGCCATTATATTTTTATTTTAATTGGCCAGCTACGGTGTATTTTTTAACTAAATATTTAATACATAAATTTTTTTGGTTTTTGCCTCTAAGCCCAAAGTTCCCCTCCATTTTTTGAGCACACTCATATTCATAGTTTTTTTCCCAAATGGTTCGGTGTACTATATAACCAAATGTTTTAACCACTATATTTGAGCTTTTTCCCCATATTAATGTCGCGACATAGTGAACTACAAATGTGTGTTTTTGTTTTTTGTTTTTTTTTTTTGCTTTATTTCTTTTTAAACTCACTCAATTTTTAAAATTTTATCTCTAAACTGAAAGCTTTGTCTGTTAGATCTAAATCAAAACTTGAGATCTAAAACCATATAGCCATGATTAATTCAAAGAGATTAACAAGAATCATAAATGAGCGGAAGCTTATACCTGAATCCATAGATTGATCTTGATTTTGGGTTTTGGATCTTCTAACCTTAGGGTTTTCTCCTTAGCCGAATTTCTCTCTTAGATGGGGGTGAAGAGAATTAGAGAATGTAACCCTAGGTTAGGGACCATAACCCTTTATTTATAGATGTTGTACTTTTATAATTTAGCCCCTCAATAAATTACAATTACAACCTGGTATCTGCACATATAACCCCATGACTTATTTAAATACCAAATTAACCCAACTTAATTGATCACTTTAGTGGGTTATCCTGAAAGATAGCAATACACATTGATTAATCATATGTGCCCACAAATAGATTTATTAGATTAAATCCAACAATCTAATTGATTAATCATTTTTTTTAACTCATAAGGTTATACACAATTTAAGGAATCATATGGTGCCCAAGTGGGAGATTGTTGGATTTAATCTAATAAATCTATTTGTGGGCACATATGATTAATCAATGTGTATTGCTATCTTTCAGGATAACCCACTAAAGTGATCAATTAAGTTGGGTTAATTTAGTATTTAAATAAGTCATGGGGTTATATGTGCAGATACCAGGTTGTAATTGTAATTTATCGAGGGGCTAAATTATAATAAGAATGAACAGAAAAATTACCAGACGCATCTCATAACCATTTTCTATTATCTTTCCTCTTAGATATAATAATAATAGAGTTAATCATATGAAGGAGATCAAAATATTGAAGAACTAAATGGCCAATACGTTTGTCTTTGAAACTTTATATCCCATTGAAGCCCCCTGACACCCCATTTCCTAATACTACTAACGGAAGCAAAAAGGTGTGATTCTTGGTCAGCAGCTCCATGAGGGAGGACTCGCTCTCTAGGCACGTGCCCTGTTGGCCAGGGCTTCGAATCTCAGCTGTCGTATTCAACTGGTCTCCCTTGATTTAAGGGTGGGGACGGAGACTCGGGGTTTTACTGTTCAGCTAATCAGCCTGATAGATTAGGGACCCGTTTGAGTCTGTTATGGTCCACACGCTGAGTGACCACCTACGTGGAATTGGGCCCCCTGGTAGCAAGGAGATGGCTCCCTCAGCTGTGGGGGGATCGGGGAGATTCGAACCGTGGTCTCCGTCAGACCCCAAGGGAGGACGCTGAATGACTGACCAGGTTTCCTTTGTAAAAAAAAAAAAAAAACGGTTGACTGTTATTGCAAATATATCAGGGAAAACAGAGGCTAAGAAGAGGAGGAAACCCATTTATCAAGCCAAAAAGAGTTACCTAGTCATCCCCAAAGTTAATCGAGAACTACATAAAAAGCTATCACGAAGAGAACTAATATTTCTTTAGAAATAAGATGTAACCCCATTATATTTTAGAAAAATTTTCCTCAAACAGTATCTGTAATTTATGATCTCTTTCCACAAAACTTTACTATCATAAAAAAAAAGGAGAGGATCCAAAGCACTTTTGCCGTCACCGGGCACCATCTTGAGCTCCAGTTTGATACCGTCAGCTGCTTGCGAACTTGTTTATATCATTGATGGCTCCTCCCCCGACTCAAAATTTTTTACCAAATTTGACGGCACTTGTGATACTTTTAATTTGATCCTCGTGGCTCAGTATGGACATGAATTTCATTGGTCTTAGTATTGGTTCTTCATAGAAGAAGGTGCTGTTAATTTGGTCGTAAATTTAATGGCTCTCGTTACATGAGACGGCAAAATTTGATGAGGAAGATGAAGGGAGATGGTAATTAATGAGCCTTCATATGCCTCCAATCAGTGATCCAATTCCGGATTTAATGGTCGAGATAGGCAACCTAGGATTTCACTATTGTGATAGTGGTTTTTAAAGATTAGCGGTTTTCGAAAAATTGTGACTTTCAAGATTATAGTGGTTTTTTAAAAAATAGTGATTTTCAAGATCATAGTGGATTTTTCTCTCTGCGTAATCTCGTCTCTTCAATTTGAAATGTACGATAAATAATTAGAGAAATTGGAGATTTTTCGATTACCGACTAGTTAGAGAGAATCTGAATTGAAGACCTCATCTTAACTAGATTAGTAGCTTCTAACTTGGATAAGCGACATAGATTATGTTTCGCAAACAATTAGGCCAATTGTGGCCCGATTTTTTAGTTCAAATCTCTCCCCTTAACTAGGTTAGGATCGGACCACCTTTTATCTGGATCAATTCTAATATGGTTAACTTGACCAGATTAGGATGGGGTTTTCCAAACGCTCCCTACATTTATCAAAACTGCCCATATTTAGTTTCTTTATTGCGAGGTTGGAATATGCGAACTCACGTCTGCATAAGGGTCTCAAATTTGTGCCTAAAGGAATTATTCGAATATAATTTATTTAGAAATTTGATTTTTTTAAAGAAATACCAATTTGATATGTACCAATCTAATATTAACATAATGGTTCATCATCATTCTCCCTTTCTTTTTCTTTATTTTCTTTTATTTTTATTGGAAAAATTGTTTCAAGACCCCAAATCCATATTTTAAGTGCCCTAACCCCCCACCCCCCCCCCCCAAGCTCAAATATGTGCTGCAGCCGCCTCTATTGAAAAAATTATTAAAAACCCCTCTCCCAAGTTCATCAAACTCCTATCACAATCCCTATTGTTACCTCCCTACACGCCGCCCCTTCTCGCTCCGTTCCCCCTCTGCCCCGTATCACCTCCTCCTCCCCCCCTGCCCTCCCCTACACCTCCTCCTCTCCCCCCTCCTCCTCCCCTGACAAGGCTCCGCCTCCTCACCTTCTCATCTGCCTCCCTCCCCCCGTCTCCCTCCCCCGCTGCACCTCCCTCCTCCTCCTTCGGTTCCCTTTTGCCCCCTTCCCCGCTCCGTCGCTGGCGTCGTCCCGAAGAACTTCGTGTGGGCACATTAATGTTAACTCTTTTTTGTAACATGTTAACTTTTTTCTGTAAAATGTTAACTCTTTTATGTAACATGTTAACTCTTACAGCTAACATGTTACCTGTAAGAGTTAACATGTTAGCTGTAAGAGTTAATATGTTAGCTGTAAGAATTAACATGTTATCTGTAAGAGTTAACATGTTACAGAAAAAAAGTTAACATTTTACAGAAAAGAATTAACATGTTACAAAAAAAAAGTTAACATGTTACAGAAAAGAGTTAACATGTTACAGAAAAGAGTTAACATCCACTGACATGAGAAAGAGGATGATAAATTCGGGATTTAAGTTAGCTGATATGTCTAATCATGAGCTGACATGTCTAATCAACTGCTGAAATGAGCCGGAATCATGATGGAGGGGTTTGGACACATTTTTTTTAAAAAGGAGGGGCTAAAGAACATTAAAAAAAATAGGAGAGGCTGGAGCACATTGAAAATATAAATTTGAGGCCTAGAAGCAATTTTTCCTTTATTTTTTATTTTTTTTGGTATTCACGCATGGTCCATGGAATCCATCACAGCCGTAGTGTAGAACCCATCAAAATACTTCCCACCAACACGTATGGTAGAGATCAAAATGTTCCCACACTCCCGGGATATATGCCTTCCCTTTCTATCGTGGACCCCAGAGGCGATGAAAACTACCCTCCCACTGACATATGGGACCCACTTTAAACACTCGCCCGTCACGTGGCACCCCCGCCGACTCTCCCCCATCGATGACGCCATTATTACCCGCCGGCCAACCCAATTCTCGCGGAGCACCCCCGCCGACTCTCCCCCATCGATGACGCCATTATTACCCGCCGGCCAACCCAATTCTCGCGGAGCACGTCCCCGTTCCGTACCCGTCTCCTCCCGAGTCATCCACCAATTACCCTTTTACCCTCGAATTCCCAACTTCTAGGTGCTCAGAAGTAACTAAATTCCCATTTTGCCCTTGATTCCACAAAACTTCCATGTCCAGAGCTCAAAGCATTTCTTCCGTCATCATCGTCTCCAAACCTCTCAACCTCCGAAATCTCCCTCTAACCTAGGGTTTCGTCTCGGCCGATGGCGGACATTCCAAGTCGCCGCAGCCCCGCGTCGCGCCGGGGTCGATCGGGAGCTCGGTGATCCCTATCGTGAACAAGCTCCAGGACATCTTCGCTCAGCTCGGGAGCTCATCGACGATCGATCTCCCTCAAGTTGCCGTCGTCGGGAGCCAGAGCAGCGGGAAATCGAGCGTGCTGGAGGCGCTCGTGGGCCGAGATTTCTTGCCGAGGGGCTCGGATATCTGCACGAGGAGGCCGCTGGTTCTTCAGCTTGTTCACTGCCCGAAGCGGCCGGAGGCCGCGGAGGGGAATGAGTGGGGGGAGTTCTTGCACGTGCCCGGGAAGAGGTTCTTTGATTTCAATGAGATCAGGCGCGAGATCCAGGTGACTAGGGTTTTGGTTTGCATTGCTATTGAGAATTGCTAGATTGATTGAAGTTGTGTTTGTCTGATTCGTGGTGAAAGGTTCGATCTTGCCTGAAATATCTTGCACTTGGCTGTAATTTGTCATGTTTGAAAGGTTTTAGATTAGGAGATTTGAGGCATTGGTCCTCAATAGACCATAACGTTAATATTCTAGTATCTCTCCCAAAAATCACAATCTTTAAGAAACTCACTTTTCTTCATTAAATGGTCATATCCTTCGAGGTTTAAGAATATTTGTGTTAAGGTGGGTGGAGAAAGAAGAGGGTATATAATGAGGAAAAAACAAACAAACAAAAAAATAGTTATTTTTAGTCGTTTTGGGGTTAATTAGATTTAAACTTCAGTGATTTCACGATTTTTTTTAATAATAATGAATGTTGGGGGACTTTTCTCATATTATGATTTTGTGGGACTGATTTGAAACAACATAAGTTTGGGAGATCGATACGTGAAAAAACCCTTTGGCTTAATATTTGTGTCTGTTACACCTTTGTTCAAGTTACTTTAGACTAACGATTAGGATTTCAATTTTACTGTTTGCATGAATTTGTTGACTTGTTAATATTTCTGACACTTACACTTGCTATTAAAAATGTTAAATGTGTTCTTGTACTCTGTGTATGTTTTGTTCCTGAGGGTTTTGTTTATTCTGTACATAGGGAATTGCAAGATTGATACATTTGTATTTTGGGTCAATGGAAGTGGGTTTGTTCAAAAGATTTTGAATTGGAAATTGTTTCTTATATCAGTAGTATATGTAACTTTTTTTTAGTTCTATTAAGGTTTGTACTTTATTTGTTTTAGTTTCTTAAGGTTTCTTTTTTTCCCTTTTATTTATTTATTTATTTTAGCTTCCTCAATTTCTATTGAAATATTTAACCTAGGTATTGGGAAGTGGATTGGTAAAAAACTGTTTTAGATTAAAATGTTACTATTTCTTCCATATTGTATTGTATAATCTTGTTTTGTTCTATTGTATGAGCTATACTGTTATGACACTCTGTCTATTTGCAATACCGACTAGATTTGATATTCAAATCATGAACATTATTTTCCTTATTGTAGGCTGAAACGGATAAGGAAGCTGGATGGAACAAGGGCATTTCAGATAAGCAAATTCGTCTGAAGATATTTTCTCCTAATGTTCTTAATATCACTTTGGTTGATTTGCCTGGAATAACAAAAGTGCCAGTTGGAGACCAACCAAATGACATCGAAGCAAGAATCCGAACAATGATTTTATCATATATTAAACATGAGACTTGCATTATTTTAGCAGTCTCTCCTGCAAATGCAGATTTAGCAAATTCTGATGCGCTTCAAATGGCAAGGGTTGCTGATCCAGATGGTAATAATCAAAAGCTCTTTGTGAGTTTATGAATTGAGGCTTTTGTCTAATAGTTCTTTGTCTTTCATTTTATCTATAGGTTCTCGTACAATTGGTGTCATCACAAAGGTTTGTCATTTCTTCACTCTTGATGTGTTTTAGCTATACTAAATGTGAATGCTAAGTTTCTTTTTTATTGTCTCAGTTGGATATCATGGACAAAGGTACAGATGCACGTAACTTCTTACTGGGGAATGTCATCCCTCTTAGGCTTGGATATGTTGGGATTGTGAATCGTAGTCAAGAGGTATCTCCTTTCTCAAACAATACATTTCAAGTGAACACCTTTTTTTTGCTTCTTGATAATGATGGTTTCTGATATTCTTCTCATATGGATAATATGGAAACCACTGAGAAGTCATCTTTCATTGCATATGACGAATTCTTAAGTTTATTTACTTAAATATTTCTTGAAGAGAGAGCTAGAGTTCCCGATTTTTACATGGTCTTGGTGCTTGCTTACTTGTTTTTCATAATTCTTGCATTCTTGGTCTCAAATTATACTGGTTAAGAGATTCACATGTCATATACATAGGCTACAAGTTCCTAAGCTAACTAATGTCAAGTTTACAAGTCCGGCTTATTACTTATGTAAAGTCAAAGAATTCATATCGAGAAAACATTAAATATCCCAAAGTCATATGATAATGTGTGCCCCTGAATTTTCTTCCTTACCTTCAGAAACTAAATCTGCTTTTGGTTCTCCCTGATCTTGCTGCATTTGTCATAAAATTGTGCTACTAGTCCTACTTTTTTAATTACAGGTTTTTATGGTTATGAAGTGACCTAGAAGATATCCAGACTTCAGTTTAGGCAAAAGGGGAAATTTCCTTTTTTTGTAGGGTTATTTTACTTTTGTTATTAGACAATGGACTTATAAGCTGTTGTAAATTGATTTTCAACATCACAGTTGCCATGTGCACATCCCAGACAATCACCCGTAAGTTGTTAAATGTGAGTAATCAGATAAAAGGAAATTGTATTCGACACTGTACTTTTCCTTGATGGTCATAATAAAAATAGCTAATTTACCTACCCCACAATCTGTGTAAAGCCAAATAAGAAATTTGATTAAATAACCAACTTATAGAGCATTTAATTTGTAAAGATAATATAAGTTTTAAGAGATGAGATAAACTGATGGATAATTGTAAAAGAGAAGAGACATTAAGTAAAACGAGTTGGATTTAAGGTTTAAAACTTGACCTAACACAATAATATATGAAGCCGCTTAGAACAATACCAGAGCACATACAGAAATTACGTTTGTCAATGCTTGAGCACATAGTCACATACAATAATATCCCTTGGAAAATGCCTATCCAAGGGAGTCAAATTAAGCCTTTTTGTCATTTTGGTCTTTGCTTTTATTTAAAGTCCACACACACACATATGTATCTTTACATATGTGTGTGTGTGTGTGTGTGTGTGTATATATATATATATATATACATATATATATATATATATATATACACACACACACATATGTATCTTTACATATGTGTGTGTGTGTGTGTGTGTGTGTATATATATATATATATATACATATGTGTGTGTGTATATATACACACACACACACATATGTATCTTTACATATGTGTGTGTGTGTGTGTGTGTATATATATATATACATGTGTGTGTGTGTGTATGTATCTTTACATATGTGTGTGTGTGTGTGTGTGTATATATATATACATGTGTGTGTGTGTGTGTGTGTGTGTGTGTGTGTGTGTGCATATCTATACATATGTGTATATATACATGTATATATGTATAGATACATATATATATATGTATACATACATGTATACATATGTGTGTGTGTGTGTGTGTGTGTGTGTGTGTACATAGATAGATAGATAGATAGATATACACATGTACATACATATATGCACATACATGTATGTATACATATATATGTATGTATATATACACACACACACACACATGTATACACACACACATACATACATATGTTTGTCTTTTAACCCAAAGTTTTAGTGTTTTACGCTCATTTAAAAACTCACACACTTCCATAAACGAACATACACCCAAAGTATCTCATCTAACTTATTTTTAAATCCAATCTATAGTATGCCCTCAAACTTTATATTGTATCTCTCAAAAAAAAAAATCCAAAATAGCTCTTTCCTTTCTTCTTCTAAACAACGACCATCTCTCTATCGTATCAATGGTGATAGTGGGAGAAATTTAGTTTTATGCGCTACTCCCTTTGCTTCCCAAACCCCAATTTAGCACACTCATCTTCTTCAAAATCTCT